AAACCAAGATGCCTAAATGCATGGCAAATGCCTCCTTTTATAGGCCAAAATTGAAAACTATTGATTTGATGACTAATTGATGAATGGGTGGCCAACTCTTGATTTGATGACAATCCTTATCTTTTTTTCTGTAAAAAATGTCATTGATAACATCAAAATTTGAACCAACCTTTGCCATTATAAAAGTTCTAGAAAATTATCTTAGCTTTTCAGGAAAAAAAATTGAGGTCATTTGGACTTCTAGAACTTGAAATATGGTTTAAAACAATGAAAAGTGTCTAGGCTGCAAGACAGATTCAGACTTCTATGTTGTTGCTAAGATTTGAACTTCCAAATAGTAGAATTGAGTCTTGCTTTTCTATGAAAATTTTAGGCCTATGTCTTAGCTTTTTATCCATATAAAGTAGATCTAAATCTGAGATCTACAGCTCCAACTATGACCCAAGCACCGAACACTGTTACAGTTTAGACTGCATCAGCATCTCTTTTCTAAATTTAGCAATCTCTTTGTCCTTTCAATTTTACTATTTCAACTCATCAATCAATCCTTTCATTTATGTGATAGACCTGCATTTAAGATAAACATTTATCATAAATTAAAGGTATTTTATGGTATCAGACTTGTTATTATAAAACATGCTTTAGTTAGAGAGTTATTGATATTTTAAATGCAAAATTATAATATAAAACCTTAATAAAAATACACTTTTAAGTACTAATCATTTATTATAATGGCTACCGGGGAGCAATCTAATATTTGACCTAATATATAAATAATTAAAAAACATAATGAAACAATCAAAATACCCTTAAAAGAAAAAATTTTAAAATTAGAATCATTAGGCCTTCTTTTCTTTTCACAATTTTTTTTAAATTATTATTACCATGCTAGCTTATGGGTAATTTAATATTTGGTTTATATATATATATATATATTCCAAAAATAGATCAAGCATGTGTATAGCATTGAGAGGGGCATGTGGGCGCCATTTTGGCACTTTTGATCGTGCTTGTAGCATTAAAAAATGTCATTTAACCATGTCATTAGAAATGACATTGTATTTGTGTCATTGTGGGGAGGCATATGTCAGTATTGGTGGTCTAGTTTATCATTGGTAGACCCTTTTTTTTTTTATCTCTTCCCCTAAAAATTACAACTTGGTTGTCTTTGTTTGTTGATATTATCACTTCAGTCTTCATTCCTTTGATTTTATTTTTGTTGACTTTTTATAAAATTTTAATTTATTTTTGATTTTATCATTCAATTTCAATTTACCAAATATTGTATTTTTCATTTTTTTCTTTATTCTTTTTTTTTTCCTGTTTTTCTTGCCCTTTTTATAAAAGTTTTATTAGTTTTAATTTCATCATTCAATCTAAATCGATGATATTAAGTTTTTCAATTTGGTCTTCATTGTTTTGATATTCAATTATTTTTATTAACCCTTTTATAAAAGTTATTATTCTTTTCAAGTTCACCCTTCAATCAAAATTTTATTTATTTATTTTTTATATTAATTTTGATCTTCATTCTTTTGATTTCTTTGTGTCCTTTAACTATATTGATTTCTTTTTTCAATTTCTCCTTTCAATCAAACATATTGTTTTTTTTTCTAATTTTAATTCATATTCTTTTATTGCTATTTTTAAATTTCTTTTTTAATTTTATCCTTTAATATTTGATTGATTAGAAAATAAACTTCATAGTTTTTTGCGATAGGATGCTTTAGGTAATGACCCGATTATGGATATGAAAAGTTAACATTTTTTTTAAAGTGTTTTATAATTCTCTTTATTTTTTAATGGATTTTTTAAATCTCATGATACGAGTTGCGAGTTTGGTGGGATATTCCAGGATGACTCAACCCTAATTACTGCGGTTTATAGATTTGTCATACTAACTCGGGTTGATCAATACCAATTTTTTTATTGTCCTTTTCTACCCTATTTCATTATTTTGTATTTAATGAGTTGTGAATTGAGATACATCATTTGTTCTCTTTTGAAAAAAAAGTGTTTTTATTCCAGGTTATTCTAATCACTTTTGTTTTTAAATTTGATCTATCTAGTATTTTTTTATCTTATTAAAATAAAGTTAGCTTGTTTGACCCAACAAGATCACAATTTTTTTTTCTTTTTTCAAATTATACTTGACATATCTAAATATCAATTTTTATGCAAAAAAAATTTCACTATGGGCACCAACGATATTATATATAAAGTTAAAGGGTGTGAGAAAATCACTATTTATCCACACCCATTCCACCGTGGATTACAATAGTAACCCACAATGTATTATTGTTTTTTAATTTTTTTGTTTTTTTCACTCATAGTGCATTACTTTTTTTTTCCTTATAGTAGTTTCCCTTTTTTCTTTTTTCTTTTTGCTTTTTTTCCAAAATTATTTGTAATTTTAGTTTTTTAATATTGAGTTGGTTAAAAATTTTGCTTTGTAATTTTTTTACTTTAAAATACTGTAGATTGCTACGATATTTTTCCACATGTTTTTTTTATTAATTTTGTTGATTTTTTTTAATATTAACCTGATTGAGAATTTAGTTTTGTTTGTTTTTTTTTCTGTAAAACATCGTTAATTGCACAATGTTTCTTCACATTTTTTTTTTATGATTTTCTCCAAACTTATCATTTTTGTTTTTATTTTTTAATATTGAGATGGTTAAGAATTATAATTACAATATGTGAGGAAAACATTGTAGCTTTCCTCTTACATTACTGTTGATTGTTATAATGTTTTTTTCCTCATGGTTTTTTTTTCTAAAATTATCTTTGTCAATTTTATTTTTTAAATATTAAGCTGGTTAAGAATTATAATTACAAGAAATACAAGTAAGGCTAAATCATATGGGGAAAATACTATAACTTTCCTCACAAAACACTATGGATTGATATAGTTTTTCCTCACATGGTTTTTTTGAGTTTCTTTTTTTCTTTTTTTGTAATATTTTTTTCCAAAATTATCCTTAGTAATTTTATTTTTTTAATATTGAGTTGGTTAGAATTTAACTTTGTAATAAAGCTTAATCATGTGGGGAAAACACTATAGTTTTTCTCATAAAACACTGTAAATTGCTACAATGTCTCTCTATATGGCTTTATTCTTAGAATATTGAGTTGATTAAGAATTATAATTACAATAAAACTAAATTATATGAGGAAAGCGTTGTTGTTTTCCTTACAAAATACTGTGGATTGCTATATTATTTCTCAAAATGATCTTTTATGATTTTTTCTTTGTTAATTTTATTAGGGAAAGCACTG